CTTCAACTCTTGCTAGGTTTTTGGCTTTTCCTTTCAAAGTTTTCATGGCCCTTTCATACTGATACATCCATCCACAATGCACAGGTCCACGAAGTAATGCCTCATACGGGAGGTGGACAACTAGGTGTTCCATGACGTCGAAAAAAGTAGGCGGAAATATTTTCTCCAAGTTGCAGATTAAGACAGGGATGTTTTCATGAAGTTGCTGGACAACTTCCACTTTAAAAGTGCGGGTGCTCACATCCCTAAATAATGCTCCAATTCCTATATATTTACAAAAACAAACATTATCCACATTAGTATATATATATATGTATAACCATATCATCGTATTATATTAATTAATTACCTGAAAGTGCTTCATGTACTTTTGCCGGTAGTAGCTCCGCAAACGCAAAGGGAAGTAGTCGCTGCATGAAGACATGACAATCATGGCTCTTCATACCGGAGAACTTTTGCCCTTTCTCAACACATCTTGAGAGATTTGAAACATACCCATCAGGAAACTTCACTTCTGAAGCCACCCAGTTGAACAACGCAGACTTTTTTTCTGATGACAGTCTAAATATTGGGACTGGAACTTGCCCATTGCTTTTTATATGTAGCTCACTCCTTGAGCAGATATCGGGTAAGTCTAACCTCGATTTTACGTTGTCTTCCGTCTTCCCTGGGACGTTCAATATAGTGTTCATGATGTTCTAAAAAAAGTTCTTCTTTATATGCATCACATCGAGGTTGTGGCGCAAAAGAAGATCTTTCCAATATGGCAATTCCCAAAATATACTCTTTTTGTGCCAATTGTGCTGAACACCATAAAAATCAGGCATATTACTGGGAACATGCCAATTCCCACCACGAGGAGCTGTTTCTAGAGCACAATAGTAATCGATTTGCGCTTCGATTTTTTCTCCAGTTAAAGGAGGAGTGTCTCTAACAACCCTTTTGTGCCTGAACAATTTCTTGTTTCTTCGGTATGGGTGGTGGATGGGAAGAAATCGACGGTGACAATTGAACCAACTAGTCTTCCTACCATGCTTCAACTGAAACGCATCTGTCATTCCATTACAATATGGACAAGCTAATCTTCCATGTGTAGTCCACCCAGACAACATACCATATGCAGGAAAGTCACTTATGGTCCACAAAAGCATCGCTCGCATCGTAAAGTTTGTTTTCGTAGAACAATCATATGTCCTCAACCCTATTGACCACAAATCTTTCAACTCTTTTATCAGTGGTTGTAGAAAAACGTCGAGAGATCTTTTTGGATGTTTTGGACCAGGTATTAATATGCTCATGAATAGAAACTCTCGTCGCATGCACATCTCCGGTGGCAGGTTATACGGTGTAAGAAAGACCGGCCACAATGAATATTGTCTCCCAGACATTCCAAATGGACTAAA